GAATGGCAATGGTGCCCACCTGAGGTGCCAGAACTGAGTTCCTGTGAGTTCCTCCTAAAAAAGCCCTGGCTTTAAGAGGGGATAAGATAAATTCATGGAGGATACAGACCATCAATGGCTACTAGTCATGGTGACTATATCACTGAATACCAGCTCCTGAGAGCAGTAGCTGGAAAGGGTGACTCTACCTGTGAGCATCTGGTTAGTTACTGTGGGAACATAGGAGACCTGCTGGATATTGTTATATTTGGGGGGGGGGAATCCTCCCCTAAACCCTAGAAATTATTAAATGTCAGGGTTTTGATTATTTGGATTATTGAGGGGAAGACTGGAGGTCAGTGGAAAATAACAGGCTAAGCTTTCTTTCCAAGCCAGGGACTCACCTGGAATAGAGGCATTAACATGACAAAAGCCAAAGTTACAGGGAACCAGGCAGAGGGCCTTCTCGGTAGTGGCGCCTTCCCTGTGGAACCCCCTCCCACCAGATGTCAAAGAGAACAACAACTACCAGACTTTTAGAAGATATCTGAAGGCAGCCCTGTTTAGGGAAGCTTTTAATGTTTGATGTATTATAGTATTTTAATATTTTTTTGGAAGCCGCTCAGAGTGGCTGGGGAAGCCCAGCCAGATGGACGGGGTATAAATAAATAATTATTATTATTATTATTATTATTATTATTATTATTATTATTATTATTATTATTATTATTTAAAAGGGTCCAGTGGCTCCTCTGAGAGCCTGGGCCTGGGCAGAGAGCGGTTGCCATGGTGATGAGGTGAGGTGTGGGTTCAAAGTGGGGGGGGGAGTCTTTAGCAAGGTGTGCTGGGAAGAAGAAGGGGACAATCTCTGTTTTCCAGGTGGAAGGGAAAGATGGAAAAATACATTGTAATAATGCAATATTTGAAGTACCATCTCTTGAAAATCATGCTTTACTTACTATTACTCACATTTGGATCCCATCCTTCCTCTAAGGAACAGTGGCAGGTGCATCTAAAAGGACTACCCCACATTTCCCTCACAACAACCCTGTGAAGTAGGTTATGCTGGCTGACAGCAGTGATCTTGGATTTGAATCTGGGTCCCACCAATTGTCAACACATGGGATCTGAATGTTCATGAGAGCCTTGGGCTTAGAGCAGAAGGACAAGACAGATGCATTTATGGTTTCCCTGAAACCGGTCAACAGAAAATGACAAGGCATGTTTACCCTCACAACTGTCTTCTCCTCTCCTTTAAAAGCTACAAAAGCAAGAGATTCTGAAATGGTCTAGCTCAAAGATGAGGGATCTGTAACCCTCCAAATGTCGCTGGACACTACCTGTGGCTTATAGCTTGTGATTTAAAAGCTGTTCAAACTGCCCTGGGACCTTAGGGTGAAGGGTGGGTAATCAATTGCAATATTATCCATCCCAGCCACTGTGGCCAATTGTCAGGGCTGATGGGAGTTGTGGTCCAGCAATACCTGGGGAGGGGCACAGGTTCCCCATACTTGTTATAATACCAGAGGACCAGTACTGCCTTGGCCCCAAGCCCAGGAAGTTGCTATCATTATTCTTAGCTGAAAGCAGACACCCTGCATTTCGTGATTTGTACTATATGCTTATATAGGCCCCGTTCCAATGATGTAACAGTTCCCAAACAATTGAGCACCCTTCAGAGATTGAGTGTCCCTCAGGCCTCCCTTCCTCTTCTTTCTCACTTGACTTCCCCCAGAAGTGCTGCGGGAACACAGCTTTTTGTTTATTTTATTTATTAAATTTATATTCCTCCCTTCCCAGGGTAGCAAATAACAAATGACAAAACAATTTAACAAAAAAATCTTTAAAACATATCCAGTACAGGTGCATACCAGGGAAGATCTCTACTTAAATGGCTTGCTGGAAGAGGGAGAGTTTCCAGTAGACACCGCCAAGGAAACAGAGATGGCGCCTGTCTAATATTCAAGGCGACGGAATTCCAAAGGGCAGGTGCCACCACAACTAAAGGCCCAATTCCTATATTGTAAGGTATGAACAAGGACGCGGGTGGCGCTGTGGGTTAAAGCCTCAATGCCTAGGACTTGCCGATCAAAAGGTCGGCGGTTTGAATCCCCGCGGCGGGGTGCGCTCCCGTCATTCGGTCCCAGCGCCTGCCAACCTAGCAGTTTGAAAGCACCTTCAGGTGCAAGTAGATAAATAGGGACCGCTTACCAGCGGGAAGGTAAACAGCGTTTCCGTGTGCGGCTCTGGCTCGCCAGATGCAGCTTGTCACGCTGGCCACGTGACCCGGAAGTGTCTGCGGACAGCGCTGGCTCCCGGCCTATAGAGTGAGATGAGCGCACAACCCTAGAGTCTGGCAAGACTGGCCCGTACGGGCAGGGGTACCTTTACCTTTACCTTTAAGGTATGAACCTCCTTATCAGATGGCATCTGTCGGAGGCCTCACTGGCAGAGCACAGCAATTGGGTAGGTATATAAGGGGTGAGACAATGTTTTGCGCTTAGGTCTGGTGCCTACTCTGTTGAATGAGCATCAGGGTCCCCAAAAACACAAGGCTTGGCTCAAAAGTATCTCATAGGGTGGACTGGAGCCGCTATGCTACTTTTGCAGCAGGTGAGTTGTTGTTGCTTACTGGGAGAGAGAGTGGTGAGGTGGCAGAGAGGCTGGTGCAGTGCAAACACGCAAGCAGGAACACTGGGTTGGCTCTGCTGGTGCATTTGCTCCCCACTAACCCCCCCCCCCATCTGTCTTCCTTCCAATAAGCAACAGTAAAGATGTCAAAGAATTCTGACAAAAATGAGAAAGGAATAGTTTGCCTCTCCTTCTGTGGTCAGGAACAGAAATCCATTCATGTTGTTGTTGTTGCTGCTGCTGCCAATCCACAAACGATATGTAATTAATGACATGGGACCCTCCGCCCTCCACATTGTTTTGACGTTTTCTTTGCATTGAAATGAATGTAAGTTCAGAGTTTCATAAGCTGTGCAAGTCATGCTAAATGGCAGGTGGAGAGGTGAATAATGTCGCATTTCATGGAAACGGAACTGCAGCAGAACAGAACCAGCACCGATTGCTACAAATACATGTTAGAACGGAAATCGCCGCCATTCTACAACCCCAAGGAATGGTGGTCCATATGCCAGGAAGCTAAAATAGCAGATCCACCCCACCCAGCAAGCTGTTTCTGGATTGGCTTGTCACATTTTGAAGTGAAGTAACACAATCATAGAACCATAGAGTTGTAGAGTTGGAAGGGACACAAAGGTCTAAAGAGGCAGGGGTGGGGGAGGGGATATGTGCTTCAGTCCACAATCTAATATTACCTAAGTGCCCCCCCAAATCCCCCTTCCCTTTTCAGCAGTAACAGCAATGCAGGAGGGTGAGTCAAGAAAGTAACTGTCAGAGTTGAAAACCAGCAGCATTCTTAAAATGCTCTCTCTTAGTTCATCCAGTCAGGACATGCCATTCGCAGAAGTACAGAATGGCTATTTAAGTATCCTCACTTCAGAACCAAAAGTGTACTTTAGAAAAGGGGGTTAAAAGTATCCTGTTGCATAAGTGATGAGAAACCAAAAGGTCCTCTTTGAAAAAGTCATGAACTTCCCTTTTTGGAGAATCCCAGATCCTCATTGCTGTAAGCGTTGAAAAATGTGGCTATGTGGTAAACGCATATTTCCCTGGCTCAAGGACTTGAAAATGGAAGCAAAACCATATAAATCAGAACTTTGTTTTCAGATGTCCTTGAGTTTCCTTTAGTCATCTCGCAGAAGTTCTGCCTCCCTCCATGCACTGTGAACGAATATGGCCTTTCTACTATTTTAACCCACAGCTATGTAAGGCACCAAAGAGAGGAGGCAGGTGGGGAAGATGCCTCCTTCCTGATGTTGTGACTCCAGCTTTCATCTGCCTGACCAATGGTCAGGGATGATGCAAGATGGATTCTCAAAAGTTCTGGAGATGTTTCCCATCTCTGTTTTAGAGTGTAAGCTCCAATGAACACTGAGCTTGAACGTTCATCAGATCACAGTGTCAGCTTTTCCTGCTCTGAAAACAGCAGAGAAATCCCAGAGGAAGCGGTATGGCTCCATGGTAGGACATCTGCTTTGATTGCAGAAGGTCCCAGGTTGAATCTGTAGCATCTCCAGGTAGGGCTGGCTGTGTCTGAAACGCTGGAGCGCCCATGCGGGTCAGTGCAGAGGATGGTGAGCTAGATGGCTCAGTGGTCCATCTCAGTACAAGACAGCTTCGCATGTTCCCAGTCCTATGAACATGGGCAGAAAAGGGTGAAACTGTGTTCCTGAAACGAAACTCAGCGAGGATTTGTGGTTTTCATGAGTGGTGATGCACATTCACCCTCCATAAAGGAAGGGGAAACAGATATTTTCATGCAGGTCTCGGAGTCATTCAGCAAACATGCCAAAAATGTGATTAGCTTAAACTTTGGCTCTGATCCATAATAAAGCAGGAAATTTGCCATCCAGATAAATGATTTTTTTCCCCCTTATGGGGTGGGGGTGGCATGGAAGGGGCTCATGAAGATGAAGAACAGTGCAAATAAAAGGGGGGCGTCAATATGTTCTCTGTAGAATGGGGTTCAAAAGGAGGAGGAAATAAAAGGGTATCAATGCTGGAGGCACAGTTCAACAACGTAGCCAAACTATAGGCTCATTATTTGGTACTTTCTAAAGGAATGAAAGAACATACATGCCATATATTTAAAGCATGTGGCTTTCCCCAGAGCATCCCAGGAGCCATAGTTAGCCCCTCACAGTAAACTAGAGTTCCTAGGAATCTTTGGAGGAGCTCATGTGCTTTAAATTCATGGTGTGCTCCGCAGTCAAGAAAGCCCAGGGTACTGCTCAAGAGAGGGGAATCTTCCTCTCTTCTTCCCTCTGCCATCCTCTGCATGCTTTCCTCAGGCCTCTCCTGAAAGCTGGGAACCTCCGCCGCCCCCGCCGCCTCCAAAAAGAAGAAGAAAAAAGGCCTAGGATGTGGGCTACCCAATCACCAGGGAAGATGGCTGCATTTGTATCACTGAATTTATGTATGACTACAACAAGCCCGAAAAGTATACATGCAATGTTTGGATTTTCACAGAACTTGACAGAGAGTGGAAGAGGAGAAGCCCAAGGCACATAGGGAACAAAGAATCTGGTAGGTAGGCAAGAGATGCAGAAGTGGCAATCCTTGGCTCCAGGATGTGCCCACTATCCCTTTTGGTTTCAAGCTCCAGAACAGGCTCTTCCCCTTTCCTCATCATCGCCAGCACATTTCTTAGCAACAATGAGGACAAGAAAGTTGTGTCTTTAAAAATAAATGTGATGACGTTATTTGCATTCAAGGCCACATTTCAGATTCCTTGCTGGACAAACAGCACACAGTGGAATCACGCACACACACACACACAGACCACTTTGTCCAAAGATTTTCCCACAAGGTTGCAGCCCATCCATGTTTTCCATCCTCAAGACAATATCCTGATTATTTACTAGACTTTCGCGGTGGGAAACCAGTCGCAAATTGCAAGAGTGCTTGTCACGTCCATGAAGCATGGTGGAAAAGAAAGAGTCTCTCAAAAACTCTCTCATATCAGTAGAACTTGCAGATCCTCTGAAGGTGGCCTCCTCATCTTGGCAAGGGGCCACTGAGGACATCGTGTCTCGGAATCAAGCCAAAGTTTAAAGAGCAGTGTAACAGAGGGCAGACTTTTTCGTGGTTCCTCAAGACTTCGCTCAAGTGTTTCATTTCATCGGTCAGCTTTCCAATTTCTTTTTTCAGGGAGATATTCTCTTGCTCAAGGCACTCGTATTCCTGAAACGGATTATCACATGAGTTAAGCATGCAACCCAGCCAGCCACTGCCAGGCACATTTCCCCCACTTCGCTATTTCCTCATTGCAAAGTAAATAAAAACAGGGCAAGGGGAAGAAATCAGATAAAAGCAAACTTGGTATCACTATCAGCTATCAGCTTTGTTAGTTTAAGAACATTTTTAAAGTCTGCTGGATCAGGTCAATGGCCAATCTAGTCCAGCATCCTATTCCCAGTGGCCAATTACATGCCTATGAGAAGCATGTAAGCAGCATCTGAACACAACAGCACTTTTCCCTCCTATGGTTTCCAACAACTTGCAGTCAGAAGCATACTGGTAAGTAGCCACTGACAGTAATTTATGGGGTAAGGCAAGTTTGATATGTAAATGACTGCACCTTGAGGCAACAGAGTAAGCTTCACGACATCTGGGTCCAGACCTCAGATTCTGGCTGCACACATATGACATTTTATGCAGCAACCAATGGAGAATGAGTTCTTGCTTTCCCTACAAAGTCCACACATAACCTAGTGCATATTTTTGGCCCTACAAAAAGTGCTTCTTGAGAAACCTGTTCTGAAAATAAAGCCCATTTTGGAACGATTGCTATGTACAGTGGTACCTCGGGTTACATATGCTTCAGGTTACAGACGCTTCAGGTTACAGACCAGGTTACAGACCTAACCCAGAAATAGTGCTTCAGGTTAAGAACTTTACTTCAGGATGAGAACACAAATCGCGCAGCAGCAGTGGGAGGCCCCATTAGCTAAAGTGGTACCTCGGGTTAAGGACAGTTTCAGGTTAAGAATGGACCTCCGAAATGAATAAAGTTCTTAACCCGAGGTACCACTGTACCTATTTAAAAACAGATGTAGGCGATAATGGCAATGAATGAGAGGGTGGGGAATCACAATGACCATTTCCTTCCTCGTTTGCCTGGGATATATGTTAACAGGAAAAGTTGTGGAGATGGCAGGACTTAGAATCAATCTTGAGGATGAACATTAATAATTCCCGACTGAGAAAAACTACATTTTTTGTGTGCTATGAACAAGATTAGTGTGTACGCAGCCCTCAATTACTGCAGCCTTCACCAATGCAAATCTACTGTTTGCATATCAGAGGCGTTGGCCCTTTGTGGTAGCTCAGAGGGGATAGACACATTCATGGCAGACAGACCTATCCCCAAACTATTAGCCATGACAGAGAAATGACGATATAGTGGGAATCTACCACCCAAGCAAGAGAAGACGCATGAAGGCACTGATTTGCATTAAAATGTACATGTGCTAATTTATACATGTAGATGAGCCTGCACAATCTGCGGCCCAGATGCCGCTAACTGTTGACGTGCAACTTCAAGGTCCTTCCTGCTCTCCCTTCTTCTCTTGAAACTGGACTAGGACCAGGCAGCAGCCCTTTAAGACAGAGGACACCTTCAAACGGAGGCCTGTCCTCTGAAGCAAGAAACACAACCCCTCTGAATCTGTCCATATTACAATAGTCTTGTGAAAATAGCTGTGAACACACTGCATTTCCAGTGCTGGGTTTTTAATTCACATTCACACATTATGGCCATCAAAACACATATGGATCCTGTCCTCTCTTATTTTTATAGATTTTCTTGGTTTACAAAAGTACACGCCTTGCCTCTTTTTTCAAGTTGTACAGTCTTTTCTACAGATCAGTTGCATTTGTTATGAGACATTAGTGTTGAGTTCCTGTCCCCTCTTATAAAATAATACTGCTTGATGCACTGTTTCTCAAATTAGCCGCACACCAATTAAGATGTTTCTACTTCACCTCTAGACAAGGTATGAACACCTCTGCAAGGGGGATAAAAAATTCCCCCCCCAGTCAATGACCCCGGTGCATTCACAAATAGAAACGAATCTGACACTGATGAAGCTGTGCTGATGTGAACAGCCAGGGGAAGAGCTGTGAAACAAACACAGACGCACAACGCAAAATACAACTTCGTTGTGCACTAAGTAATGGGAACACCCCCCCCCCAAATCAGACCACTGGCTCATCTAGTTCAGTGTTCCCTACACTGGTGGACAGCAGCACTCCAGGTGTTCAGAGCATGCCCTACAGTACCTAGTGATAGCTGGGACCTTCTGTATGCAAAAGCAGATGTTCTCTCACTGAGCTATGACCCTTCCCTTTCAGCTGCTGGCGGGGGAAAGGCAACAATTGCTGTCCTCCCATGTTCTGAAAACCTAGCAGTTACTTGGATCTGCTGCCATCAGAAACTGACGCACACAAACATGTCTGTTATAAGCAGAGGAACCAACTGGAAATAAAGAAACACTCATAACTGTGGAGAGGCTTGCAATCAAACCAAACACAACCCAATATCCATCTCTTGTGGTCTGTCAGTTTTTGTGTTGCTGTTTTTAAAAAGAACAGGTGAAAATCAGGAGGCAGGAAAGTTTATTAAGCCCCCGGTGAGCTCTGCACATATCACTCTCCTCTTTCAAATGCTTCCACAAAACCCACATCATTTGCAAACCCTTTCCTGGATCATCACAGCTTCCATTTTTAAAATGAAACAATCTTAATAATCTGCACTTCCTGTAGTCTCCCATCCTCTCTGCTCCTTTATCAAACATTATCTGCTTTCTTCATCGGTGTGATTGTCAAATGAAACATAGACACAAAGCTGCTTTTAAAATTATTATTTTTTAAGGGCAGGTGGGGAAAAGAGAGGTGGCTTAGGCACCAATGCAAATGTACAGCAGGTTGCTGGTTCCCCCCCTGATTTGAATGTGGCTAGGAGAATTTATAGCAATACACCTTAAAAAAGAAAAGTAGATAGAAGCAGTTGCCCGGAACAGCTGCTATGGTCACTAAGTTCATTACCTGCTTGAAGCGTGCCACGTACCACACATGGAGGGGATGAATAATTTGCTCTCTTCTACGGAAATGTCACATTAATCTCTCTGCTTCTCCCCCCTAATTTCCTAAAATGCATTCAGGACTGCTCATAAGAAAGCTTTGAAGCACCAAATGATAAAACTCACAGTAGTTGTTATGACCTCATTGAGCACAGTCTTGGCCAACACCCTTCTTATTCCAGTTTTGAGCCTCTCTTCTAAAGAAAATCAGCTTTACAGTTAATTAGTTACAGGAGTGAAAGGGAAAGGAGAGTTAAAAGGAATGCAGAAATGTACTCCAGGGGAATGTGAGACTAAAGAAACTACTACTCTAAAGTTGCAACATGGTCCTAGCCGGGGGCTCTCGAACGACAGACCATCCAGGTAGTCTGCAGGAAGTTTGTAGAACAATGAAGAATATATGTTCTTGGCCTGACATTTGATTGATTGATTTTTTTCTGATAAAGGAGATTGGGACCGCTTCGATCAGGGACAGATTATTGACTAGTCTCTGTGATTTTCATAATATAGTGGTACCTCGGGTTACAGACACTTCAGGTTACAGAGGCTTCAGGTTACAGACTCCACTAACCCAGAAACAGTACCTCAGGTTAAGAACTTTGCTTCAGGATAAGAACAGAAATCGCACAGCAGCAGTGAGGCAGCCCCCATTAGCTAAAGTGGTGCTTCAGGTTAAGAACAGTTTCAGGTTAAGAACAGACCTCCAGCACAAATTAAGTTCTTAACCCGAGGTACCACTGTACAGTACTGATGCAGCCTTAAACTGATGATGACCACAGTACCTCAAGGACCACCTCTTCCCATATAAACCATCCCAGACTCTGCGTTCATCATCTGAGGCCCTTTTCTGCGTGCCTCCTCCACGTGAAGTCCAAAGGGTAGCACCTAGGGCTGGGCAATATCAGCTTTTCAACATCGCGGTATATCACCAGTCAAACATCGTGGTCTGGCAATATACTGTGATGTTGAAAAAACAAGCTGCATTGGCCTCAGCCTGCGAGGCGCCGGGAGAATTTGTCGCAGCTCTCACTGCAGAAGCTGAGGCGGTTTCACCCCAGTGCCTAGCAGGCTGGGACAACGCAGCTTGTTTGTCTGGCTCAGCTGGGGCGCGGGAGGACTCCCCAATCGCAGAACAGCCATCCCTGGTCCTCCCCTCCAACTTGCGCAGGAGCCAGCGCTGGGCTGGGGGATCCTTCAACTGCTCGGCTGAGGGGAGTGGCAACCACACACTCTTCAGCCAAGCAATTTAAAGATGCAGAGAGAGGCGCAAGCTGCATTGGCGCCTCACCGATGCAGCTGTTTTCTTCCTCTGCGCAGTATGAGGGCAGAGTGGGATGGCGGTTTCACTCAGTGATATATCGCTGGTGAAACCGCCACTGCTCCTGAGTCCCTCTGCTAGTAACGCTCACCGGAGGAAGTCACAGCAGAGGGACTCAGGAGTGGTGGCGGTTCCACCAGCGATATATCACTGAGTGAAGCGGACATTGCAGTCTGCTCCACATACCGGTCCTGGGCGATATATTGATATATCGCCCAGGCCTAGTGGCAACACAAGACTGGGCCTTTTCTGCAGTGGCTCCCCGTCTGTGGAATGCTCTCCCCAGAGAGGTTCACTTGGCACCTTCATTATATATTTTTAGGCCCCAGGCAAAAACATTCCTCTTCAACCAGGCCATTGGCTGATTTATATCCTACAGCCTTTTAAATGTTGTCTGTGAGAAGGGGGGCGGTTATTGTTTTGCTGCTTTGTTTAATTATTTACATGTTTCTATCCTGTATTTTATTCTGTGAACTGCTCTGAGATCTTATGATAAAGTGTGGCATTATTATTATTATTATTCCCCTTTATGTTACTAGATAAAGGGATATTTTCATACCAAAGCAATAATTTTGACAATACCAACACTGAAGGAGAAATGTTATTAAAATCTGAAATCTATGTTTTGATTTGTAGAATAACAAAGGATTTACTAAATGGTCTCCTGAGGGGCCACTCTCACGCCAGTTAGTGGCCTGCAAAAAATTTTTATGTTGGAGAACTGCCATGACTCTGGTAAAAAATAGTTTCCGCACAAGCTACACCTGTTGAAAGCTCCTTTTCTGTACACCAGTTAAAGTGTAGGAGCCCTGTCTTCTTCTGCTCTACTTGTTACATAGAAGACACATAGAAAAGAGCAAAGGAAAAGCCTTTGGCAATTGGGGCTTTATAGCCCTGAAAGACAAGCAACAGCAAGAAGGGCTGTGGCACAGACTTCTAATATCATGAACATTGCAGGGAGAGTGAATAGTGAAAAACACACCGATTCTGACTCAAAACATGACATGCTCCAGGATCTTCTGAACCTGGCAGGGTGTGTAAGATGCAGGCCAGTCAAAACTGTACTTCATGTGGTTTGTAATTATTATGCAGAATTCACTGCCCCAGGCTGCATTGAGAACCACGAGTTTAAGCATTCTTGAAAATGTGTTTGCAGAGGAAAGAACCACCTAGGAGCCTCAAGGGTGAAGCATGGAACAGCTGTGATCAGAGGCAGTCTACCACTGATCACCAATGCCCTGATCAAACAACTGGGGGTGTTCAGCTCCACTGCACCTTGCCTTCTCAGCATCCTGCTAGCCTCTCTGTCAGAAACAGAATGCAGAAATAGATGGGCCTGAGGTTTTCTGACACACCAAAGCTGAGCTCCTTCAGGAAAACTGGCAATGGCTAAATGCTACCTCCAAGATGAGAGGCAGCTTGCCTCTGAATGCCAGCTGCTGGGGAACAAAAACGGAAGAGGGTTTCTGCACTCATGCCCTGCATCTGGGTTTCCCATAGGCACCTGGTTGGCCACTCTGGGATAACATATGACAGACATTGCACATCACATCATGGACTGCCTGGTCACAGGATTGACTGACTGACTCCAGCTGCAGAAGCTGAAGCTGCTGAAGAGACCAGAGACCATCTAGGCAGTGAGTCGTGGAAGACCTGCTCCCTGCCTTGCAGGCCTTTTCCCACCTGGCCTGGGATGCTGGGGCCCTGACTGACTCCAGCTACAAAAGCTGAGGCTGCTGAACAGACTCTCGGGCTAGGGTATTGTTTTGTTGCGGGGAGAAGAGTGAGAGGTTGTTGCTGCTACTGATATTAATTTTTGTATCTTTACTCTTCAATCTTGTTGTGATTTAATGTGGAAGTTGTTCAGTTTAGTTCTGTACTTTTTAATGTGTTTCATTTACAGTATTGTTTATGACCATTTTGATTATATTTGCAATTATGTAATGGTTTGAACACTAGAAATATGGCATACAAATAAAATTATGTATTTATGTATGATCATTTATAATAATTTAAAAATGTCATCCACTCCAGTCACGCAAGGCAGTGTTTGCCACATCACCAAACTGCTAACAGGGTAGTGAATGAACAGATGCAAAATGGTAGAAGGAGACCATGAATTCCACAGGCGTTTGCATGTGAACATCATAGAATCATAGGACTGGAAGGAACCTTGTAGGTCATCCAATCTGTTGCTCAAAGCCGGATCTATAGTGCAGGATGCAATTGCTGCCTCCTTGACAGATGGTTGTCTACAACCTCTGCTACACTACCACCAGCAAAGGAGAACCCAACCCCTCCCAAGGCCAGCTGTTCCACTGTCAAACAACCCATAACCATTTGGATGTCTCACCTAAATGTTGAAGCCAAAATCTGCTTCCCTGCAATTTCCACCCATCAGTTCTAGTGCCACCCTTGCAAGTAACAGAGAACACATCGGCTCTCTCTTCAGTTTGACAGCCCTTCAGATACTGCAAGGCAAGTGATTCCCCTGCCTGTTCCTTCTCCATACAACACCTCCCCCCAGCTGCTTCTCTTCCAGACTCATGTTTGCTGCATCCAAGGAAAAAGCAGCAGCGTGGGGTGGGAGGACAGTAGTACCAGTAGGCAGAGAAAGGGTTAAGCACCCCCCTCCCACCAGCTGCTTTTCCGCTACAAAACACACACTCCCCTTTGCTACTTTACAGCTGCTCAACAACAAGCCAGGTTCCCCAGCCCTGGCAAATGCTGCCATTTTGTTCAGCCCTTAAACAAGTATGAAGAGGGCCTTCATTTGCACTCGGGAGTGATATTACTGCTCTTCCCTCCCTCAGGGATCCACAGCAATGTTCACCTCGTGGAGTTTATCTGCTTTCTGTGTTTGTTTCTTTCTGCTCCTCTGGGCCGCAACTCTGTTCTTCTCTCTCCGTCGTACTTTCCTTTCATCGTCTTCATGACCCTGGCCAACGAAATCAGATGTCTTAGTTAGGGTTCACCTACAAAGGAGTTTAATGTGGATTTGAAGCTCCTTGTGCCTCCATTCCCCACCCCCACCCTGCAGCGTCCACATCATTCATCCAACCAACCGGCAGCCAGTTAATTTGGTCCGTCCCCCCCGAGTTAATTAAGATTTTTCCAATCCATGGCTAATCCAGTTTGTAGAAGTATCCAGTATAAAATCACATGCACTGACTGTGGATGCAATGAAGCACACTGTGTAGGTGTGTGGGTTTGTGTGTAGTGAAGTTTTGCAGTGTGGTGCTGGAGGAGACTCTTGAGAGTCCCATGGACTGCAAGAAGATCAAACCTCTCCATTCTTAGGGAAATCAGCCCTGAGTGCTCCCTGGAAGGACAGATCGTGAAGCTGAGGCTCCAATACTTTGGCCACCTCATGAGAAGAGAAGACTCCCTGGAAAAGACCCTGATGTTGGGAAAGATGGAGGGCACAAGGAGAAGGGGACGACAGAGGACGAGATGGCTGGACAGTGTTCTCGAAGCTACCAGCATGAGTTTGACCAAACTGCGGGCGGCAGTGGAAGACAGGAGTGCCTGGCGTGCTCTGGTCCATGGGGTCACGAAGAGTCGGACACGACTAAACGACAACAACATGCCATCTATTGTTGCACCCTCTACTGTCATTTGCTCCTTGTCTGAGCACAGCCTAGCCATTCTGTTTCCATCAGCCAAAAGGAAAGGATGTATCATGCCTATTTCTACCAACTGTGACTGAAGGTAGAGAAATCATATTATTATTATTTTTAAACTGCTCTTCTGCAAAACAGCAGTATTAAGAATAAAATTAAAACTGCGCTTCAGTTGCCGACACATTTCCAAACATGCCTACTTCCAACTACTGCATGCTGGGGGTATGTTTGCCGAACATAACTAAACCTTTATATTTCTTAAATTTTAATACAGAGGCTTGTGTAAGAGGAGTCTTGTGCAAAACCTACACACACACACACACACACACACACACACACACACAACTACAACATGTAAACATTAATTGGGAGTGAAGGGAGATGGGAATGTGGACACAAAAAGGTGAAGGACTAACCTAAGAACACAAAAAGAAGGAAGAATCACCGGAGCATTGGGGGCTAGATGGACTAGAATCTTGTTTATTTCTTAATTCAAATCCCTTTCCCAATTCACAACTCTTCATTTTGACCATTGTGAAATACGCCACTAACCTTTGTTCTTGCACACTTCCTGGTGTGTGTGCTATTTTTAAAATTTTTTTAAAAGGTGCACTGGTAAAGAAACACCTGCTGTTTGCAAAAATGGGAATGGAGGGTAGATTGGCTGCTGCTGTAGCATCTGTAGCTTAACGTAAGAGGAGCCAGTGGCCCATTGAGTCCAGCATCCTGTTCTCACAGTGGCCAACCAGAGAACTGTTGGAAACCCACAAGTGCAACCCAAGCGCAAGAGCACTCTCCCCTCTGGTGGTTTCCAGCAGCTGGTATTCAGATGCATAGCATGGCCCCTTCGCTCTGCTTAATGGGCCCTGGAAGGCTTTGGTATGCTTAAAAAAGGTAAAGGGACCCCTGACTGTTAGGTCCAGTCGCGGACAACTCTCGGGTTGTGGCACTCATCTCGCTTTACTGGCCGAGGGAGCTGGCACACAGCTTCTGGGTCATGTGGCCAGCATGACAAAGCCACTTCTGGCGAAGCAGAGCAGCGCATGGTAACGCTGTTCACCTTCCCGCCAGAGTGGTACCTATTTATCTACTTGCACTTCACGTGCTTTCGAACTGCTAGGTTGGCAGGAGCAGGGACCGAGCAATGGGAGCTCACCCCGTCACGGGGATTCGAACCGCCGACCTTCTGATCGGCAAGCCCTAGCTTAATGGGCCCTGAAGGCTTTGGTGTGCTTGGGTCCCAGCAAAATCACTGAAGCGGACCTGGGTCTTCTCTCTGCTTTTCCCTTAGGGGTATGATCTGCTCGCTGAGGCTTCCCACTGTCTTCTGTGATGGTAAGCACTTTGCATGTGCGCGGGAGTTCCCCCACTGAGAATGCATCGAATTTCCAATCTAACTCACTCCTTCTCCCCCCATTGCCCCCCACCCCCACTCCGTCTCCTTCTCTTTGAAAAGCAATTTTTAAAAAACACACAAGGCAGTGCAGCTGACGGTACCTACTGCCTTCCAGCAAGACATGACCAACGAGTCGCTTATGACCACTGGTGGGTTTTGATTTAGAGAATTATACAGTGGGTCCTGCAACAAAATTTTGCAGTATGAAGTGCAATTTTGTTCTGGGTTCCAGTCACTCCCCATGCCATCCCCCTACCCCAAGATCCACTCCTAATAGACGGAAATCCATGCCCACCAAGAATAGGGTTGCCATATTTCAAAAAGCGAAAATCTAGACAGAAAAGTTCTTTTGGTTTTTTTAATTGCAAAATTGCAGGGAAATTGGATGTTTTCGAGCTACCGTATTTCTGAGGGAAATCTGCAAAAACGACAGTCCTGACATGGGCTGCCATACGTCCGGATTTTCCCGGACATTTTTGACGATTTCCGCACAGACACTGCTTGTGGCCGTATGCCAACCCTAACTGAGGATGCTCCACTCCAATGTGGTTTTCTACTCCCTGCTTTGGGAAGGGCGAAATGGACATGCTTGTGCCTGATCCTAGTTATATTAGATTGCTTAATTACCCCATTGATGTCTATGGGTAATTCTCGCCTCCTTCCCTGGAGACTTTTAAAAATCAGCATTTCAGGGTGAACAAGGATGTGGCCTATCTATATAAAGAGATTGTCCTTTCTGCCTTTCCCTGTTCCTTTCTCTTTCCATCCACTCTGATTCATTCCCTCCTTCCACCTAACAGTCAGTTTCTTTCTTCTCACTCTCTCAGTCACTGATCTGTTAGTTACTGTATTGTTACGCAATTTAAATTCAGGCCCATCTAAGCTTAGCATCCTCTTCTCACAGTGGCCGACCAGATGCCTGTGCGAAGAGCCCTCTCTCTCCCCTCTGGTGGTTTCCATCAACTGGCATTGAGAAGCTCTGCTGCCTCCAAGCTGTGGAGGCAGAGCAGGGCAATCATGGATTGTAGCCACTGAAAGATAGGACTGTTGTTCAATGGGGAAATTCAAGCTGCGTGCCTTTGCTCTGTTAGTGTCAAATGGACAAACAGAGCAGCTTGTTCTAAGTTTGTTCTGAAATGTATAGTCCCATAGGAGATCCCTGACAGGCACAGTCCACCAGGGTTCCTTTCAGTGGTGCCAAGTGGGGTGGGGTGGGGGGGTCCCAGTCGCATAAAGATTGAGAATATCCAAGTTGGCAACCTGTAACTTATAAGTCATAGACCTTAGAATCTTAGAACTGCAGAGTTGGAATGGCCGTGAGCGTCATCTGACATGCAGGAAACTTTCACCCGGAATTATTTCTGTGCACACCTGTTCCTCAAACCTTACCTGCTTCACAGATTTCTTCTAAAACATACCCCATGAGATTTCGTTTATTTATTAAATTCGTAAACTGCCCTTTGCCTGAAGATCTCAGGGCAGTTCACAGCCCCAAAATACAAGATTAAAAACACAAAATACGTAATAAAAAGAAGGAAAAGACAAAAACCCATAGCCTTTCCTGGTAAGTAAACTGTTCCACACACACCTCTGTCATTTTGGCTGCCCTGATCCTCCACCCCCATATATTTTTTATTTGATCTGATTTTGGTTTTTGAGACTGCACAGCAGCACCAAACCTCTGCAGCCCTGCTCGGTGGTTTTATTTCTGATCCCTCAGAAGCATGGGGAAGATTTACTATGAAACTAAATGAAGCTCAAGCTTCAGGGTCTTGAATTCCAGAGGAGCCCCAGAAGTGACTTCAGTCCACTTTGCTTAAAATGTTTGCGTCTAGTAGCACAAATCAAATAGATATTTTTTTGCTGCATACATTTCAACGAAGTTTGAGAGTAAGTAGCACAGTAAGCTGGCTGTTCTGCTGTGGCTAATATAACCCCTTCCCTTTTTTGAAAAAACAGACCCTAGAGAGGAAACTAAGCTAAGGGTCTGGAAACTAAGTCTTATGAGGAGCTGGGTATGTTTAGCCTGGAAAAGAGGAGACTGAGAGGAGATATGATAGCCACCTCCAAATATCTTAACGGTTGTCACATGGAAGAGGGAACATGCTCGCTTTCTCTGGAGGGTGGGACTCGAGGCAATGGCTTAAAGTTACCAGAAAGGCCATTCCGACTAAACATTCGGGAAAACTTTCTGACAGTCAGAGCTGTTTGGCCGTGGAAGAGACTCCCACGAGAGGTGATGGACTCTCCTTCCTTGGAGGTTTTGAAGCAGAGGTTAGATGACCATCCTGTCATGGGTGCTTTCAGCTGAGATTCCTGCACTAGATGATCCTCGAGGTCTTTCCCAACTCTTAAGATTCTGATGATTCTATGAATTTTGGATGCACCAAAAACGCAAATTGTGGTGATCTGCCGTGGAGCAACCCCATGGAAGAAGAGAACCGTGGTTAGACCCCGTTGCTGGTTGTGAAGGGGCCCCCATAGCAGCTCAAGCTTCAAGACCCGCCCCCCCCATGTAGGTCCGCCACTGCTGGGAAGGAGCGCGCCAGGGCGACTCGGCGCAACCCTCCCCCCCGGGTCCCCTTTCCAGCCCCCTTCCTGGCCTCGGTCTCTCTCCCTGGCTTACCTGCTGCGTCCCCTCCGAAGAGGAGCTCCTTCGCAAAGTGTTCGCCGCCGGCGCGTCCTGAGACATCCCGCCGAGGCGGCGCTGGCGCTCCTCCTTGTGCGCGCAGCCGGCAGGAGGCGGCGGCCAAAGCGCATCGGGGGAGCCCCGGAGAGGTGGAGCGTCGTGGTCGCCGCGCTGCGCCGGACGAATGCCTGCCTGCCTGCCTGCCTGCCTGCCTGCCTGCCTGCTTGCCTTGCTTTGCCTCTCAGCCTAGGCGGAAAGCCCAGCCAGGGACATCCCGGCAGCTGCCGGCAACCGCGAGGCGCGCGTGGTTCCCCGGCCGCTCGCCGCCTTGCTGGGGCAGAACCCGGCCGGGAAGAGAGCAGAGGCAGGCAGGCGCCCGCTCCCGCTCCCGCTCCCGCGCTCGCCTGACTGGGGCGCCCGGGCTGCGGCGGCGCCTTCCGAGGCGGGCTCGAGGCGGGCTTCGTTGAAATCACGTGGCGCCCCGGATGAAACTTCGGAGGGAACTGGCTGCGCGACCACAGGCCGGGGGGCGGCGAGGGAGCCGCCCGAGGGGGAAGCGAGGCCACGGGGGCTTTTCCCTCGCTCTTTCCCCACCGCCGCGTCTCGGCCAGAGCAGCGGCCCCAGCCAGAACCGCTCCCCGCCTGCCCGCCCGCCTGCCATCCCGGGCCGGATCAGCGCGGAGGGGTCGTGTGAAACCAGAAGTTCCTCAGCTCGCCGCCCACGCGCCGCTTCAAAAAAGAATCGCCTTGTTATTAATTTCACGCTTCCAGTACTTATAGACTTATATTTCGTATTGCATCACAAATTCAAGTTTTTTTTTTAAAAAAATTCTTTTTGTGATTATATTTTTTCCTTTCACTTTGTATTGGCACCGAAAATTTTCAACTAAGAATCGTATTTTATGCAAACAGCAGATGGAAAATTGGAAGTTCCTCTTCTGTATTTTCTGCTAATGTCTTCCATATATATATATCTTATTAAGTTTCAACTTTTTAAACATATGCAGTTAAAACAAAAACACACTTCTGTCTTTTCTCATATTTTTGTCGCCTTCCCACCCCTTTCCCCATGGAGTTGTTGCTTCTCCTCTTCTGCTGCACCCTCTTTTATCTATCAAATCATAACCACAATATTACCATCTAGTTACTTTTGTTGCTCATAGCTCGAATCCTGCTAGCGAGTTCATCATACTATTTCTTTAAATAGTCAGAAAAAGGCATCCATTCATTTATCTTTTTCATCCCCTCCTTCTTTTTCATCCCTCTAATATATTCCCCCCCCCCCTGCTTTGCTTTTGCTTTTATCCTCTACTCTGGGTTAAAGTGGAGATGACGCGCAGATGAAGCGGATGAATGGTTGGTGCAGGACCCTGTGTGAGAGGCAGCGAAAGGAAGATTTCCAAGGGTGAGAGGCTGGGGTAAGAAAGGGAAGCTCCCAGGTGAGAGCCAGGAGAGTCCACCTCTCTGTGTGGGATAAGAGTCCTATCAGAGAGGACTTTGTATTTTCCTTTTTTCTATTTGTTTAGATTAGTTGGATTTTTATTGCAATGTATTCTGAAAAGTGTCCATAAAACTTTCCAAAAAAAGGAAAACTTCCCAATAAAACATAAATATTAAAAAATAAAAATTGCCAAGGGTCTTGGCAGACCCCTGAATAGTTAACACCCCCTTCCCTTTGTTTGTTCAGTTTATATATATGCCTCCCTTCATCCAAAGATCACAGATGACCCTCAAGGTCGCCTCCAACTCTACAACTGATGCAAAGGTGCAACACAGGAACCCATCTTATACCAAGATAGAGCATTTGTCCATCTAGCTAAGTGTTGTGTACACTTACCCAGCTTGGGGATGCCAGGGATTGAACTGGGAAACTTTTACATTAAAAATTGACTCCCTACCACTGACCTATGACCCTTCGCCAAAGTGATGAAATAGTGTCACCTATTCTGGTTTCCCCATCTAGCCATAACTTGGTAATTCCAGAATGCCATACTGTGTGCATGAAATGAAGGCATAATTTTCTATTCTGTACTATATTTATTGCATGCAACACTGTTTTCTTTCTGCTGCAGTTCATTAGTCTTTCCAAAGCACAGTCCTCCTGCCTATTTCAGTCTCAGCAATGTACCACACTATCAAGCCCAGATGCACACAAGGATCACGCAGCCGTCTTTTTATTAGGTGTCCCTCGGAGAACTTGATGAGCTATATTAAGAAAACAGCCAGACGCCTTCTGATGCAACACCAGTTTATGCCCAAGTTAAAAATAAAAATGTTGAATGTTGTAATGTTTCAAGTAAAAGGAGATTTTAGATTTCCCTTTTACAACAATCAGATTTCCTGTAAGTTAGAAGGCAAAATAATTACACATAGCTAAGAGATAGAATTTACTTAATATAATTTACTTCAAAAACGCAACAATTATACCACTGGATCAATCCACCACGAATGCTTCTAGGAAAAACTACTGTCACCTTGCCTTCTTTACAAGATCCTTAAATGTAAAGGACTGACTGGCTGAAGAGCATCAGCTGGAAGGAAATGCCACCCCTATCAAAACTGGGTCTCCTAGAGTGATAGCTTAAAAAACCCCACACCTGAGCACAATCCTTTTCCCAAAGCAAACATTGCATTACTTTACCTGTCAGCTTTATATTTTGTTCTCCAGAAAACAAAAAAGGTCACTCTATTCTAAGAGTCAGGTCAGAAAGAATGCCCATGCCTCAGTTTACAAAAACATGTCTTAAAATGCCACCCTGTTTACTCAGCATCGTAAATCGGACTGCTGCAGTTTTGAAGGATAGGCTGCAATAAAGAAGAAAATCATTGTTGCTTTAACGAAAAGTGAGAAAGAACATTCGTAGAAATGGACTATCCCCACCTCAAAACATGCGTCATTCTGAAATTATCTTCCATCATTTCATGTCATTACATGCAGCATTATCTCCAGCATTTAGTTTAATCTTTTTTTCTATTTTTATTTTCTAATTCTCTTTTTTTTTGTTTTCCTTTTTGGTTGCAAATACCCGGTTCCTGGGTGCACTCAGTGCTAGCTTCCATGGTGTTAAAGTACCAAGGTACCCCTGCCAACGACAAAGGGCCCCAGCTCTATGCGTACTGACGTCGTACTGGGTTGTGCGCCCATCTCACCTATAAGAGGCTGATTTAACCATGGTGTTAGGTACCACCTATTGTAGATACCATTCCTTTTGCTGTATCCCTCTGCTGTCAAGAGGAGCTTTCCAAAGTTAGTCAGTGGCCTAGTGGCTGCTGCCAGGTTGTTTAAGGTGGTGATGGATCAGCCAAGGCATTAGGGTGTCCTCTAACTTATCTGTTTTCTCCTTACTGTATAAGGTTGCCATTCTTGTATAGAAGTACTGTTAGGTTGGTGTAGGACTTTGGTCTGCCCAATTCTTACTTGGATGCTTTGGGATGCATGGCGGAATAGTGCATTGTAAGCCAGGGTTATCAGTGAGGATGGGGACTGTTTTCCTGTTTTTCCTTTCCATGCTTTAAGCATAGACTGTGTCAGGGCTTCTTTTCCCCAGAGGGAACTCAAAGGAACTCATTTCCAGCACCTCTCAGCTGGGGACCATTGCCATTCTAAGAGAACGAGGGAGGTGTTCATGGTGAGTTCTGCCACCTGTTTTTCTAGAAAAATAGCGCTGAAAATTGTCTGAACATGTTTAAGCATTGTGGAGGTTTCCATTACTTTGTTTTGAAGATATGGGTACACTGAGGTGGGGGTGTTTCTGATTGTCTCCATGTACTGGAAACAACCTATATGTAGCTTGTTTCCCACTGGAAAACCTACATGTAATTCAACCAATTCTTGTTCACTGTGCTGACACTTGAAAGGAACTCAATATTATTAGTACAATTATTCTCAATGGCATTTGACACCTATAGAGACTACGGCTGAGATTTAAGATTAATCCAAGTGAGTGTCTGCTTGTGCAATAGGGCTTTTCCTTTCTCTCCTCTACAGCCCCTCACATATCCCACATCTGTTCTGGGGGGACCCTTTACAGCTGATTTTGAATACTTGCAGTGGGCTAGAGCATGGGTAGGCAAACTAAAGCCCAGGGGCCGGATCTGGCCCAATTGCCTTCTCAATCTGGCCCACAGACTGTCTGGGAATCAGCATGGTTTTACATGAGTAGAATGTGTTTATTTAAAATGCATCTCTGGGTTATTTGTGGGGCATAGGAATTCGTTCACACACACCCCCCAATATAGTCCGGCCCCCCCACAAGGTCTGAGGGACAGTGGACCGGCCCACCGCTGAAAAAGTTTGCTGCCCCCTGGGCTAGAGGGAAAAGAAACCAAAAGTCTTGTGCTGTGCAGATGGTATCATGAGATGGAACTGTTCAGGTTATAATACTAATTTTATGCACAGATGAGGAGCATCTCCATTATGTCAGAAATACTGACAAGTCATACTGCTCGTTTTCAAAATGAATGGGCACACAACTACTTTTGGACCCCAAGTTGTTCTGTTTTAGGCATTTTGAAAACAGATTTAGAATAAGTAGTTATTTCTCCTAATTGCAGAAAGATAACAAGAACAAAGAAAAGCACCTAGACTACCAAATACAGGTCCCAAGGCAAAGCACAAAAAACAATGTATTATTAATAAAATTATGGACAAGAGAAATTACTACAAGGAAGGAAATTACTACTCTTATCTGTGTAATGACAGGACTGGTCGGTACTGAAAGTATGTTTTAAACGCTCATCCAAATGTAAAATGTAAAACTTCATAATGGGCGGATTTGAAACATGGCTGGGTTTTTAATATCTACTTTAAGGGATGCTTGGTAAGTTTTGCTCTGATCAGCAGACCCCTATTCTCTAAAAATGTTTTGGACAGAGCTCCATTTAAAAAGAGATTTTCCATGTGGTTTTGAGGGAAGAGAAACTCAAGCCAGCCACCTTGTATATGCATAACTAGTTTGCAGTTGTTTGGATCCTGACTATCCATTTCCTTATTTATAATGACAATTTCTTCATGCAAAAAAAGTAGCACCAAGTCCTACTGCGTATAGCATTTCAGACGCACTTGAATTGCAACTGTTTTGAAAACATGACTCAGAACTGCTTTGCAAAAAAAAAAAAAAAAAAAAATGGTAAAGCAAGCAAAAAATTGAGCATAAATCCAGAAATCTCAATTTGATGAATGTGGTGTACAAAAAATGTATTTTATATACAAATATACATTTTACAAAGGAGACAAGGCAAGTGTACATGTTCACTGTGCAAGGCCTATTCCACAAGCACAATCTTTAAAAATAGAATTTCAAGAGCAGAGTTAAATATGTTTATAGGGTCATGTTAAGTATGTTAGACATACTTAAGAGGAGACCTATTGACATTAATGGGCATGTCTAATGACTACC